TAAATTATTAAAAATTAATCCATATATAATACTTCTAAAAAAGAAGATAATTATGAATGTTAATTGTAAGGAAATTTTGAACACATAAAATATAGTATAATAAGTGAATAAGTTTAAAAGCTTTGGAGGCATTGAAATTAACTCGATATCTTTAAAAGAGTTAAATATTTTGTACTGGCGTTGCATTTACCGCTGCGAAGCCTTCCAATGATGGAATAAACATTCCGCCCACAACCATCTTACAACTTTTCATACTTCTTTGCATTATTAGTGGCAATAATTTTTGTGCCTGTAAAGGCGCGCCTTGCCATCGTGTGGTGTATCTAAAAATTTATTTGGATATTGATTTTCATTGTTTAAGATGATATTCTCGTATCATTATGTACGATATAAAATTATTTTGAGCGCTTTTATACTTTCTATGTATGTAACGTATATGCATGTTCATACAGAAAGTGTATCTTAACACTCAATCACAATGGTCGGTATTAACCATGTTATTTTGGCATGATATGTTTTACAGGGAAAGATATAAATAATTAATAATCAAGACAGTTAATTATTATGACGATTGAATATGTAACATAAAAGATGTAAATGGAAACGTTTACAGGTACTCTTTTCAAAATTGTTATAAAATTTGTAAATATTTTTTCGGTAACATATTCACACACGTTATGTGAACTTACGTGTTCTGAAAAATATCGGCGCTATGATCTATTAAAATTTGGCCAACGTAGTTACCCACGAACAAATACACAACATGACCGAGGATGAATAAAAATAGTGTCATAAGTTCATCAAATTTCTTTACGAATAGAATTACTTGAAACATCTGAAAGAGGTATGAGCAATGAATTGAACAACGATATCAGGAATAAATATTAGCCACATACAATTAATAAAAAACTTTTATAGAAAATAACATGATTATACAGAGTGTCCGATGTAGAAGTGATTAACCGAAAGATGGAGATAGATTGGATCAAACTGAAAAGAGAAGTTATGTACAATTTTGTAAAATTCGCAATAATTATTGAGTAATAAATAAAAATGTCTAAACGAATAAACACGCACAACGAATTTTGCAAAATGGTATTTGACTCTTCTTTTTAGTTTAACCCAATTTACCTTCATCTTTCGGTTGATCATTGTTAAGTCGCACAACCTTAACACACACACAAACACACTGAAAGAGAGGGGGCAGCGGGGTGCGGTTTAATGACAATGCTTTAAGACTAACAATAAGAAGAACTTGTTACTCGAGAATATAATTAATGAAATATTACTCACAGAAAAAAGATTAATAATTAAAGATGTAATACCGATTATAAGAAGAATGCTGTATGATATTGCTAGAGTGGACCACAGGAATTCCGAAAACCTTGAAGAAAGGGAAACTATTGCATCACCGTTGTAATTTTCGCGTGTTAGCCTTCTTGCTCTGCATGATTTTTTTGAGAGATTTTTGGAACGATATAAGTATTATTTCATAGAGAATTCAATAATTTTATGTATTAATCGACAAATCGAATAACTTCCCGTTTACTACTTTATTCTGTTTTACTAACAACAAAATGTATTATACCGACTCGATAGCTCTTTTGTGAATATATACAGCTTCAATTATCCTTTTGCAAACAATGATTGCGTGCTTTTCAGATGTGTAACCTTGTAAAAACTTGTCATTAAATGCTTGATCCATTCGATAACTGCATAAATAATAATTGTATATTATAAAAAATAGATAGCGTATCGTTTAATTAAAGAACTCAAAGTATAAAATAAAATGTTAAATGGTATAATAAAAATAAAATAAAATGCTGCACGCTACAGTATACAGATTGTGAGATTTAGCTAATTTTCTTTTATTTTATTACCTGGCAATTTGAAACATTGCACAAGCATGTTGTACGAATGTTACGTATAACGATTCAGTGCTTATCAAAGTGGCAATTATTAAGCCCAACGTAATGTCTACTTGTAATACAATTGCGTAAAAAAATTTTTGCTGATCGACAAAGTACTCTCCCGGAAATAGGAGTTGTCGCGGGCGTGAGACATTTAACGGCGCAATGATATCGAGGATACTTGGTACGAATGGTAAAAAGAGACACACTACCGTAGCGAAACAACCCAGTACTGAAATTATAAAGCGTGACTTTCAACATAATTACATATTACGATTATTCAAAAAGCCAATAAGTTATGTGTATGTATCTATTTCTTACTTGTCAAACTCAAAGTGCACATACTACCAATGTAAGTGTATTGTTCTATAATCTCTAATTCTTTTTTATCTTTAAGCATATTCCAGTCTTCTTCTATATGTTTCATGAGACTCCTTAGCTGTTTGTCAAAAATTATAAAATTCAGATAAGCAACCTTAGATGCACGGACAAACTAATTGATTTTTATTTAAAAAAAATTACAATATATTTTCAATTTTTCTTACAAAATTCTATTATAAATTACAACTAAAAAGAAACTTATAAATTTGTATTGTACTTATGTTAATCAGCAGAACGCTTGTTTACTTTAATCATTTGTCTTAATGTGATATTTTGAAATAGAAAAAGGTGCAATATAAATACGATAACGTATTGTCTCACTATTGACTCACCTTTTTAGCCACAATACAGAATGTTTGATATTTTATAATATAGATTAAGCAAAGTACGATAGGTGAGAGAAGTTTTATCATGACATCCCTTTGTTCTAATGTTATGAATTTCGCAAACTAAAACCATGAATTTCAATAACTCAATAATGACTGTCACAAATTATTAATTTTTGAAACAAGCAAATCTTACACTAATATTAATTCCTTGCAAAGTGTTGTATAATATTCTCACCTGGCAAATCGTCGTGAATATTATAATAACGTTACAAAATATCATTTGACAATACTTGTAGATGGAATGTTCATATGGCCATAAGCCAACTAATAACAACAGACGTCGATTGAGTTTATAGTATCCATCCCCGACAAAGTTCATCTTTCTACGGCTGTCACAATACTTCTGTATTGAGAAACGAAGAATTACCCTCCACTAGTTTGTCGTCCATGTTTATCAAACGTATTTTTCGCTTATATTGCATTTTGCTTGTCTATGAAATAAATGCGAAGAGTAAGTGCTGCAATTTATATATAAGTTCAATACAATTTAGCAATTTATAAAATTAGCTGTGTATTAGAAAGAATTCCATCGTGTTCATATCTAGTCACACGCGCAAAAGTAACAGGTAGAGAAAAATTAGTAATCTGCGCAATTACAATGATAGTCCATTTTATGCAGAGGGATAATTTTCTTATACCTGATGTGTTCCTCTTTTTATATCAAATTCATTCCTTTCCAGTGCTCATCAAACCGTCAGTGGTTGTGTCTCGCATTGAAGAAAAAAGTTTACAACATCAGCTTGTACATAAACATTTTTTAAATACAACATATAGTTGAATGAATATATTTAAGCCCCTTAAAATATACTTATTCTATATATGTCTTTAGGACACGGCATGTGTGCCATGTTTTTAAGATAAAAGAGATAGAGGTTGTGTGACTTTTACCGTTTGAAAGTACTCATACAGTAAAATATGAGTATGAATATACCTGAAACGCTTCGATATTTTCCATATTTATATGATAATCTAATAATTTAAATATTTACTAAATTTTAAAGAAGACAAAATACTGTTTTACGTTATCAGCTGTTCTTGTTTAATGCCCTTATTGCGCTGACCATACATATAAAATCATAAAAGAAGGTAAGAATGATGTGCAAAAGTTCGTGATTAGAATTTTTATTTTTTAGCATATCGATACACAATCGTGCTTTATTTCTAAATAATGATATTAATAAACATCGATATTTGTAAAATTGACATTCAACATGTTTTTCTTCTTCCATCAGATATTTGTTTTGATGATAATGTAGATAAAACTTATGAAAGACATACAAATTTTTAATTTAATTTAATTATTATATTTAAATATTGTTGCTTAACTTCTTTGTTGTTAATTTTAGTTATAGAGCTATTTTTCAATACCAAATATAATAGTATCATAAATAAATAAAATATGTTATTCATTACTTAATTCTCGACTTAATTATTCAACGAGCATTCGTGATTCCAATTGTTTTTATAATACTTCACTTTCAAGGCGAGATTCTTTAGTATTTTCGTTGATCGTTTAATGTACACTATTTTTACAGCAATAAAAGATATAATTATAAACATAAACAATATTAAAATGTTTATCAGTATTGGCTAAAAATATGACTTTCCTTCTTTCTTTAAAAATTTATGAAGTCTGTGCGTTCTAACATCTCACAAAGTCATCTCGTTCTTCATGAATCTCATAAGAAAATGATAAGAAAAGATTATGTTGATTTTACTCAACATTGTATGTGATAGATATGGGGACAATATTTTTGCGCGGAAAACCAATAAAAAGTATGGCACGGTGTCAGTACTCTAACGGGTAAGCGGTATAGTGCGGCTTTGCGCCGACGCAATGCCGGTACGGCGACGCAGCGCGGGCGCAATAGCGAGCAATAGTCTGCATTTGCGATGGTCCCCTCAATACAGTATGAACCATCACGCGAAGAACATATATCTCTTTATTACGGCGAAACGTCGTAACTCTTCGGCGATATTAACAATACGTATAAGTGCATTCGTGACTCTGTCAGCTCGCGAAGCGTTGTGTGTTCATTAGTGATTTGCAATGTGATGTGATGTGTGCTTTCTTAATTTCTTAATGAAATGTTCGATGAATCGTGCACACAGCGTAAATAGAGTATTGAAAGAATATTTGAAGAAAGCAATTAGATATTTTGTATATAAAATATTTAACCGCCTTTTTAATTTTAAAACAGATGAACAGAACAAAAACTGTGAGATATACCAAGGTAAAAATACAAGTAACGTACATAAAACTTAAAATTCGTATGGCTTAAAAATGTGATAAAGACAAATTTAAAGGAATAAAGGAGTAAGAGCCGTGACGGGGTGTAAGTGTCTAAATATTTCATATTTTTAAGTTTATTACGAAAAATATTGCCTCAGCCAGGGTTTAAACCTGGACCTCCCTCTTACTAGGCGGGCGTCTCAATCAATTTGACTACCGAGGCATATGGAAATATTCATCGCAATAAACAGTCTAATGTTGATTCCCAAAAGCCACCTATTGTGACAGTATTCGTAAACGAGAACTGCGCGCCGACTTAAATAGTCAGTCTTAAAACACGGTACAATCATCCACACAATGTATCTCCGTTATTACCCTCCCATCCAACCAAATAATTAAATGGAAGTAAGAAACGCATGTTACGTCCGCGTAAATTAAAATTCGTATGGCTCAAAAATGCAACGCATATAATATTTAAATAAGAATTTTTCTGCACATTTCTCATGTAAGGTTTATTGTAAACAAAATTATTTTTCTTCCTTTCTTCGAAATCACATGTTTGACTTAAAATGCAATCAAAGTTGATATCCTTGCTATCAACAGTTTGTTATTACGAAATGAAAGATGTAAACAATGAGATATAAAATAAATTATGGAAAAATTTTAAATCTTTCTGAAATGTCCACTATTTTATATTATATTGTAAATAAAATTTTATTATATAATTACACAATGGCTATTGCAAGTTGTGTGTGTGCAAAATGGTACATGACTTTTCTTCTCAGTTGACGCATTATTTTTTGGTTGGTAACTAATGAATGTGACACCCGGTGTATTCAGGGTGATTCAGAACCTCTGTAAGAAACTCTGAGGAACGATAGATGTTGCAGAAAGGACCATTTTCTATGAAGTATCCCATGTTGTCTGACGCGCGTAAGAACTACGCGATCACCTAGACAAGTTTTAGGTGACATTTATTACAAGAGATGTTATTTATTTATTTATTGTTACAAATATATTTGCAGGCAGTCTACAAAAGATGTTCAAAGTGTCTGTCCTAAGCCTGATTGCATTTGTGACATTGTCGTAACATTGATTATTGAATTATTGAGCGTTTAAGTTATTTGTCGAATCCTATACAAAAAAAGTCGATAGTCGAAAGTCTCGAAGTATTGTTGTCGCTTTTCCGAGATGCTGATTGGCTGTCTCGCTTGTGCAATACGACATGCTTCAGTCGTATTATTTGCAGCTATCAAACCATACAAATTTTTAGAGAGAGTAAATGGTGCGCGCAAAGCGCGCGCTTGTGTTGTCTAATTTGGTAAAAAGCAGTATGTATTCGCACCAGCAGTTCTTCTCTAGTATCAACTAGAGAAGGATGGCACACACGACAGGACGTAGCTCGGTTAAACATTTTAAATATAAGCATAAACAGATTCAAAGTTCAATAGTCCGACAATCAATGTTACGATTATGTCAATGCAATCAAGTTCAGGGTGAATACCTTAAACACTTTTTATAAACTGTCTGCAAATACATGAAACAATAAATGAATAATAACATAATTTTAATAAATGTCACCTGAGAACTGTGTACGCGATCGCATAGTTTCTAAATAACGCGTTAGAGAATATGGATTGCTTCACAGAAAATAATTCTTTCTGCGAGATCTATTGTTCTTCAAAATTTGTTGCAGAGGTCCTGAATCACCCTGTATACTCGTACATATATGGACGTATATGTATATGTACATGTACATGTGTGTATACATATTCATACATATGCATAGGGAAATTCATTTAATTTGATGAAATTATTCACAAAGTAATATAACTTGACATATGACTTTTATTATAAATATCTTAATAAATATCAGTTGTAGGCCCCATATCGTTCAATATTTTTTATTTAGCGTTTAATTACAATTATAGTAAACATTACGTTAGCGAGCATTTATTTAAAGATTTTATTCACGAGATACGTATGATTTTTTTCAGTTATGAAGAAACAAATGCATATATGTATACCTATACATTTGATTTTCGAAATCCAATTTTGATTATGAACAACAATATGAGAATGTTCATAAATAGTATTTTATTCTTAAATATATATATATATACAATATAAAGATCAAAATTATTCCAGAGAATAAAAATAAATATAAAAGAAACTGTTTTAAAGTGTTATAATAATTTCCAGCGAAGTTCGGTAAAACCTTTTTGCGGGTTAGTCATGCTTTGCGTGATAACTTACAATTTTTCTTCCCCAAATAATTATATATCTCGATTTCCCCTCCGTTGAATTCTCATTATTGCCACCATTGGATAAAATTACAGTGTGTACATGAAAAGGTAGTAATTTGATATCGATGCCATATGCGTTATAAAACAAGGGATGACAAACTTATCGATCGGTGTACTTTTATGACATAAAAGTATGAAATATTGCTCTTTAAAGTTTTGGAGTAAAAATAGAACTATGGAGTGAAATATTCACTTTATTGGAGTAAATATGTATCATCATTAGAGTGAATATTTACTTCAATAGAGTGAATATTTCACTCCATTCTACTTTCAGTTCAAAAACTTTTGAGAGTGTTGTAATTATTTTGACATGGAAATAAAATATTATTTCGGAAATATGTGTCTCATTGGTTGTCAAACAGTCTAGGAATCGAATTAATTAACCAATGGACATTGTTATAAATACGTTTGTGCACGGAATTGTAGTGATCTAGAGATTAGATCTAGATTAGTTTCATTGCGCTTGCATATGCAAAAATTGTCTCATAATTATTAATACAGTTTTTACATTTTAATGCAATTTTTTTATTATATCGACTACTAGGATTTGCTGTCTGTTTTGATCTTAACGCACAGAATATATCATAGTGAGATAAGACAGTGTCAAACTCGCCATCTAAAAGAAATAATTATAATATAATATAAAAATCTAATATAAATATTAATTATTTCAATAAATTTTGCATAGTTATGTTATGCTCCCTAATGCTATTATACTTATTGTCTTTTAATAATAGTAATTCAAAATAACGGTAGAAAAAAATATTATTATATTACCGACGCGAAACCTTCCAGCGACGCCATAATTACACTACCAATATTGAGCACGTAACCTTTTACCGTTCTTTGTAGTATAAACATAAATAGTTTTTGAATATGTACGGGTGCTGCGTACCATTGTGAATCGTATCTGTATAATTGCATAGAAAAATGCATTCTATTTCCTTCCTCTTATTAAAATTCTTATTAAATGTACAATATTTGTATAATATGCAAATAATGTGTTACGGGTTAAATGTGAAAACTTACACTTCATCAAAAATAAGACAACTACGATCTGTTAGCTTCTGTCCAAAATAGTTGGCGAAAAACAAAATGCCATACTGGCCTCCAATGAAGGATACACATGCTAATAATTCTCCAAAATCATTCATTGCCAAAACAGCCTCAATTAACTGAAAAGTAACGATGGTATTTTATTAAAATTAAGCAAGCACCATTTTCTAACAAGAGATTTTGCAAAAAATACTTTGCAAATAAACAGACAGAGCAAGACATGTAAAATAAGATTATTTGCTGAAAAAACAACAACTCACACGAAACATGTTAATAGTTATTGTAATCACTCCAAGCATGAGCATAAGGAAATAAGTTAATCCAAATGTGGACAGTATGTAATCTAAAAATCTTCAACAATAAAAAATTGCATAGTATTAATTTTTTTTTGCACTGAAAATATGTGCAAAAGATTTTTCAGTAAAAAAAATTGATGTCTTGCATCTTTTTCACATGATTGGTATACTAACTCGACAGTTTTCCTGTGGATATGTATAACTTTTACAATTCTGGCGTGAATTATGGCATATTTTTCATTTGTAGTTACTGAAAACATTCCGTCATCGAAAACATGTTTCATACGATAACTATAAACATATGTTCATTATTTTCGAGTAAATAAGATAAAGATGCGATATAAAGGTTAATCTGTCACAATTATTTGTATATTTAAGTATAAAAATATAATTACACATATTATCTCTTTTTCTATAATTAATGTTATGGCTTGCTTTACTTTTGTTGTGGCCATAGACATAGTAATACTAGACCGAGCATAAGACGCCAGACCTGAGGCTCAGGGTACACTTTTCTCTTTCTAACGAGAAGAATAAAAAGAGAAAGGTTGACGCGGCACCTACTTTCTATCCTTTTCTACCTAACTTCATTGCTTAAAAGAGAACATGTTCAGTCTAATATTACTATATCTATGGTTGTGGCTATACCGTGTTTTAGTAACATATTCACTGTTGAATAATTAATATCAACATTAGTGATAAAGTGCAATAAATGTACGAGATTTATCTGGTATATTTTATATATCCAAAAATATACAGGAGTATTATCGGAAATTCGCAGCGATATTCACCTGGCCACTTCGAACAATCCACAAGCATGATGAACATATACCATATTTAACGTATCAGTTGCAAGTACTATGGTTATGCCTAATATGACTAATAAAGACTGGTGCACCAGGATAGGATAATAGAATTTCTGTTCATCGAGAATAAAATAATCCGCTAAGAGCGGCAGTTTTCTCGCACGAGATTCGTTTAAAGGATTGATGAGGTCGAGAATACCCGGTACATAAAAGCCAAAAATAAAAATAAACAAAAATGGGATGCATAAAGCTGAAATGTAGCGTTATCACGAAATAGATTAATAGTTTTTATTATCTCCATTTTTATACGCTTGTAAATTAGTATAAATACATATACATATATATGTATATATATTGTATATAGTAATAATATCTTACTCAAGAAAACTATTGTGTATCGCATTCCGATTATGGTGTAATACCGTATAATTTCGCATTCCTTTTCGTCCTTTAACGTATTCCAATCATGCTCAATTCTACTCATTATTTCTTTCACCTAATAATATCAATGCTAATTAAACGTGGACGACAATATTTTAATTTAATTTCAATTACGTATTAAAAAAGTTAAATTAAATAATTTAATAATTTGGATTAAATATATTTTTCATATACGTACTCTATCAATTATCATAATGTAGCCAATAAACTTCAAAATATAGATGAGACAAGGAATACAGTATGTTAAATTATACAAAAAACGGTCGAGATCATAAATCGTGGTTCGTAATTTGGCTACCTGCAGAATAAATTTTATTACACACCAATGATTTTTCAGTTGAAAGAAAATATATCAAGTCACTATTGCAATTATCTATCATATTCTCTTAAAGTCAATCAGTGGAATTCACTGAAAAACAGACACTTCACTGATCGTAGTGACTATTAAAAGTGTGACACTGCACAAATCACTATGACCAGCAACTATTCACTCCTTTCCAATGACAATAAAGAGTCATCTTTAAGATTAAGTTAAAATTTTTCTGATATTTAAAACGACCTATATAAAAAAGATGTAAGAATAAACGTAGTCGGATATAATAATTTAAACTTTTATCAATTAAAAAAGAAATTAAAAGTGTATTAGTAAGTAGACTAAAAATATAATTAATATAGGTATATAAATACATACAATTTAAAAGTAATGAATACCAATATATGTATACACAAAAGCAGCACTAATTTTATAAATCGATAAGTGAAGAATGTTACCTGAGTAATGCCAGAAGATACGAGGAGAAAAATCATCAATGTTCTGTAAATGTATATGTACATGGAATTATTATAAGGCCATAGTCCCATCATTTCTAAAATAAACCGATTGGCCCAATAGTAACGCTGGCCCTCGAAATTCATTTATTATAGCTTCAAAGGTCTCACTGAAAATGAAGCTACTTGCGTTTGCTCGGAGTATGTTGAAAAAGATCCATTTTCCGACGGTGTATTCGCTATTGATTGATATACTTATTATTTCCTCGCACAAATTTTATTTAAAAGATCGTGACAAAAAAAGGGAATATAATAATGAAAGTGAATTACGTAAATTGCGCGACGGAAAACAAATGTTCGCCACTCTCATTATTTATTAATGCATCAAACTTGCGCACGCGCTCTTGTCATTGTTTCGAACCTCACTAACGTGAGTCTGTATTTACGCTGAAGCTATTGAAGTGTTCAATTGTGAAGGCGACATTAAGTTTATATATCTAGTACTCCAATATACTATATTGGGGAAAATATTAGAAAGTGAACTATAGTAAATATCCGTGCCGAAAAAGAAGCATTACATTAGAAAAATAATTTAGTTGATACTATTGCTGATGATGGAGAAGCGAGATAAAAATGATCTAAAAAATATATCTTAATCTATGACACAATAGCAATAATTTCCAAAAGTGAAGAAATGCATTGTATTGTTATTTCTTTCAAAATTTATTTGATTAATGAATATGCAGAGAAGCATATGTAGAACATACTGAACGTATTTTTAACCCGCGGATTCTTTAAACATAACTATTATCCGTTTCGTGGCTCCCTTTGTGTTGTCCCACGGATTGAAGGACCATAACATAGGACATAGACATACTTAAGAGCTGTAATAAATATTAAAAATCCTTCTCTCTCTTTCTCTCTTAAGGGATTAATCAAAATAAAATTACCCACAATTCCTTACCGTAGCAAAACCTTCTAACGACGCGTCAAATAAACCTCCAGCTGTTAAAGCACTCTTCTTGTTACTTCTTTGTATTATAAATGGTATCAACTTCTGCATACATAATGGCGCAGTGTGCCATTGTGCATTATATCTATTAATACATACACAGATTTACATATAAAGCAATTAATATAATTTAATATCTTGGATTACGTGAAATTATTAAATAATGAAATAAACCTCTTGTTTCAAGTTCTTAGTAAGTTTTACAAATTACAATTAATAAGATAAAAAAATCTCTTATTCACAATTCTTCGCATTAATTACATTATATTACATTACATTAATTATATTATATTACAGCAAATATTAGAGTCACACGATTTGTATTGTAAATATATTTAAAATATTATAAAATTCGGAAAATGTGTTTACTTACGTTGCTTGACTAAAGCCAATGCTGCTATCTATAATGTCCTGTCCAACATAATTTCCCAGAAATACATAATATAAATGTAAAAATATAATGCCACTGTACGTCAATATAAACTCCACTTTTTCCTGAGATGTTACTGCATTAATGCACTTGAATTGAACATTATTAATTATATATCTTTTGTGTAGCTTCATAATTGTGTATCACAATAATAATTAATTAACCCTTTTTGAATAAATAGTATTGTGTTCTTTTCGCAATATTCTTATTAATATGCATATACACTTACATTAAAGAAACTGAGACTCATCGAAACCAAACTTAATCCTAATAATATAAAATACAATGTTGCAAAACTTTTCGTCAAAATATTGGTCAAACTTCAACAGCAAAATGTGTATTTATTATACATTTATTGCAATATATAATATTTAAGCCTTGTGCTCAACCTTTTCTGCGAGGATTTTTAGACACATCTAATTGTAAGAAAAACAGCAATTTATTAGATTCTGCTGTTTTTAACTTTGTTTATAAGATGAGTTATCTTTTATATAAACATAAATTAATATATGTAATATATCACGACAATAATTTTGTTTTGTCCAGGCAAAGTAGGTTTCGAGTGCAAAAGAATAATAAACTTTAATACTAACTCTATAGCTCTACGATGAACATACACAGCTCGAATTAAATTGTTATGAAGCATATATTGTTTAATGTCCTTTGGCAGATGAACGTTTTCGTTAAATATGTTTTCTATTCGGTAGCTATGAAAATACGGATATTATATTATATATTATAGAATACGGATGTACTAAACTTGTTTCTATGTTAGTTTCTTAAATAAGTCAATAAATCTTGTGATACTTAAGGCTCTTATTTTTACCTGGCGATTTTAAATAAAGCGGATGTGTGCAAAGCGTATGCTATGGCTATTGTTGCCATAGCCACTATTATGATGAGTCCAGTATAATAAGTTAAAATTATGTGTGTAACAATAGCGGAAAAGTATGTTTCTTCGTCGACAAAGTATTCCACCATAATTATAAATTCTGGCGGTCGCGATTCATTCATTGGTATGATCACATCAAGTATACGCGGTAGACAAATTATTGTACTCATTGCCAATAAAAAGCACACACTCAAAACTGAAGCAAGCGAATTATGATACGTATTGGACGTGTAAAAAGTAACTTGTCACTTTAAAACTTTTTGCTTATACTTGGCGCGAGATACTACCGTGTCTCGTGATATAGAGGAAAGTCCTCTATTATGAGATAGGTTTCTAATATAAGATAGCAGGTATTCAATATCAAAATTTAATCACAAATCTTTTTTTGCAACGATTACACAATCTAACAATGAATTTTCCACTAAACAGATTGCACTCCAAGGGTAATAAATTCATGGTGGAATCAACTGATGCCTATTAATTTAAGAGAAACCCCGCTATCCCATATTAGGATTCTATCTCATGGTAGGGGACTTTTTTCTATAATTCTTATACCTTGCTAAAGGGAAATACTAGAAATACAAAGAAAAAACTTATACAAAAAATTATGTATTGTATTTTTGTAATTTATTGTATTTATTGTATTTTGTAATTTATTGTATTTTCCTCAGTCTAAGAGTGTCAGTGTTTTAAAAAATTTTACATAACTTTTGCAAAACATTTAAATGAAATATTTTAATGGTAATATGAATATAACGTGTAATGCATATAAAATGAATTAGCGTTCAACTAAAAATAATATATTGGAAAAAAGAATTGATTGATATAATTGACTTTTGATTTTATATCTTACACAGAAAAAAGATCGTATGGAATTTTGCATTGTCTGCATATCTTCGTATTACTTCTAATTCCGCCTGAGCCTTTAACATATTCCAATCGTATCGAATTCTATCGAAGATATATTTGATCTACGATCACAAATAAAATATCTTATTCTGTAAGTTTTTCTGGTATTACGTGTCTCATTAGATACTTCTAATTATTTTCATGTAATTACAATGGTTATTTAATATATTGAATAATTAGTTCATACATATATGTATATGATGTCACTTAAATCAGGAAAGAAAAACAGATAATATCAAATATATCATTACAACAAAAACTTACACAAATTTCAAATGCATTAAAACCAAATGAATGCTTACGTTATCACTGAGTAGGAGACCTGCATAATATTTTGTCATAGAAATTAAGATAAGAGCGATGAACAACACCATTTTGGTAATAGACTTGATGCTGTGCTGTTTTACAAGAAATGGACTGCACTGAAAGCAGTAACTTTATTGAACGATTATAGCAAAAATGTAACTAAACATTAATTTACATAAAAATTTAGTCATTTAATATTATAGGCAATTGTCAATGCTTGTGTCAGACTTAATATAAACTTTCATTTAAATAAATAACATGTAAAATGAGAAATTTAATACCTGACATATTAGAATAGATATGAATAGTGTTTGGATGAAGATTATTTGTGTTTTCTTGAAAGTTGAAATTTGATAGGGCCACAGACCGACAGATAGCAGAAGAATTCTATTCAGCTTATAGTACTGTTCTCCAGCAAAGTCCATCTCTCGCGAAAGCTGAAACGCGTATGTCAGGAACAACGCCGCGAAACTGCGTTTCCCTCTCCATGTATCGAGTTAGATAATCAATTTTTGTTTCCCAGGCTTATAGGATAATTTTAAAAGTGACGATTAGTCTACCGTGGGATCAATAGCAGATGTAAGAAATTTAAAGTACTGGGAAGAGAAAAATAGGTGTACATAATAAATAAAGAAGATAAATTTTCTCAGTTTTCTCCCGCCAGCTCGACTATAGAATAAATATAAGTCAATAAAAATAATATTATCCAAATTATCAAAATATATCGTACACTTTTCCTTGAAAATAGACACGTTTTTGTGTATTAATGCTGACGACTAGAAGTTTTACGGGTAACTTAGATCACTTTATCACAATGCACGTTGACTTTGTCCTATATAGTGTCATACACGTCTTTACAATATTATACATATGTATATTAGCAACATCTTTCATATTTCGTGTCTATTAATACAAATAAAAAACTCGGATTTAAGAGTGCAATAATTTGACAAACGTTTTGCAGAAGTGTGAAAAATGTAGATTATATTCATGTGTGAAGAAAAAAAGGTACATATTGATTGTTTTTCCATTTCCAATTACCTTTCCATGAAAAAAATGTGTGTTCAATACCATTTTATTATTATACTTCTCGCTAGATGTTGCACTTTTATCATTGTCTTAATGCTATTTTATGAAACTTGTTTATGTAATATTCATATTTTCGTATTAATCCATTTATTAAACACAAATATTTTTAGTAACTCAAAAATATCGAACGAATAATACACAATACTATACATATATAACATATAATTTTGTGTATGTGTGTGTGTATGTGTGAGTGAGTGTGTGTTTTTGTGTACATATATACGTATAGATATATAAAATTACATATTGCATGGATTACACAATAAAAATGTATGCTAAAACCAATAACACATATGTATACATATTCTATGTATATGTACATATACAAATTCTTTTACAAATTTCTTTAAAATTTTTAATTATGTGATAGCATAATATATTTAATATTTAATATAACATAGTACAATATTAATTAACATTTAAAACGAGTTGAAAGATGAATTACTCTTATGTGCACAATAATTAATAACATCAAATTACCTGAAATTCAAATATTTCCATCTGATAATATTCAAATACTTATACAAAACTCAGCGAATAAAGAATTTATTTCTTAAAAATTATCTCGAAATTATGGAATAAATCACCGTAAAGTAAGATATTGACATGCTCGCAAGCTGTAAATTTATAATTTTCCTTTAAATAAAATTTAAAATGTAACCATTTTAGAGAGTCAATTGCATTTATTACCGAAGAAAAGCCTTTCAGCGAAACTACAAATATTCCTCCAAAAACGAAAGAAAAGTTTTTTGAAGTTCTCTGCATTATGAACAATAACAATCTCTGTACACGCAATGGCGTTATATACCAATATGAATCATATCTACATGAAAAAGAGAAAAAACATTTTACTTATAAAATATGTATATTCAATCCTTGTTTTATCTATGGCAGTGGTACACTTTGATATAGATCTCATTTCTTAAAAATATTCCTTATATATAATATTTTTCAAATATTATACAGAGTATTCAATAACACTGGTCGACAAAAAGGGATCGCTTATAGCCCGAGCCCGGCCTACCGCTTCCTACGTGCTCATTCGCTAAGACGTTTCAATTAATTAATCGGTAACTATTGCACATTTTATGAAATAATACATGACTTTTCTTTTTAGTCTGACCCAATCTGCCAGCATTTTTCGTATGGGTCCTCTTGTGTCAGACACCCTGTATAACAAATACCTTTGCAAGCTACTTACGTCGCGTCGAATACTTCGGAGTAATGATCCGTAACTATCTGCCCAGCATAATTCCCAAGATATAAATAGCAGAATTGTGCGGCAACAAATGTAAAAGTTGTAAACAATTCATTTATGTTTTTTGTAGATAACGCGATGAAAACCTAAAATTACGTCTAATATATTATAGAGTTAAAAAGAATCAAAAATAATTTTTGGTTAGTTGTAGAAATGAATTGACTAATACATTCTAATATCAGTAATCGACACTAACCTGAAATAAATTAACAGCTAACGAAGCTACCCCCACACTGAGCAATACGAAAAAATGCCCTTTTAAATCGGACACAATCATATCAGCAAACCTTCAACAATGAAATAAATTATATGCTAAATGTAGTATAAATGATTATTGTCAAGCTAGATATTATCAAGATAATGAAGTTGCATAAATAAAAAAAATAAAATTTGTTATTAAACTCTCACTGAGTCTAATTTTTTTAGGTCAAGAAAGTTACAATTCAGAATAGTTTGTTTTGAATCTTGCTTTAAAGCCCAATTTTAAATCTTCACTTAATGATATTCAAGTTACTTATTTGCAATTTCTGAGTGAACAATTGAAAATACATTTGAATAATGAGTAAAGTTCTAGAGAAAAAATTTTGTGTTATTAAAAAATACCGTAAGATCTAGAAAAATATAATACTTTTAAAAAAGGTGTCTATTAAAAATATAATAGTTAACAGTAACGTGTAGTTGACAACAACATTGAAAATATAGTTGTAAACTGTGTTTTTTAAAAATTATTATACTTTATTAAAATTTGTTCAAGAATACTAACTCTATAGCTTTCTTTTGAATACGCACTCCACTGATAACGTTTTTATAAATTGCATGATCTTTTTGGAAAGATGGTCCTTCTTTAGCATTTTCGGTTATTGCATCTCTGATGCGATAGCTGTAGATGTAGGTATGTGACATTTAGATTTTTAATCATTCAGATAATTTGTGATTGTATTATGATCGAGAAAATTATCTCTCCACATTAAAAATTCTACTTCTACTAACAAGATAGGAATTAAATACACTATAGATACATATGTATATACAGGGCGTTATGTAATGCCCCTCTCAGTTCTTATTTATAGATAGAGCAAACTAGACTGAGTCGAAAAATCCTCTATCATTTTGCAATTTTCGCATTAGCTAACGAGAGAGTTTATTATACGTAGCCGTTGCCGTGTGTCTCCCCGCGCAGCTAGTAAAACGCCAATCGCGGGACGGCCGCATCTCGCCGCGCGCTTGAATTGGGCGGTAGGCCGGGCTAAGGCAACGATTCTTTATCATTAATAACTCGTTGACCATTGCGAAAATTGTAAAATGGCAGAGGACTTTTCAGTCTAATCCGCTCTATCCGTAAATAAGAGGCGGGGCGGGTATTACATAACTGTGTACATGTAATATTACCTAGCAATTTTAAACATTGCGCAAGCATGGCAAATGTAACTCATAAACATAGTTCCGACGGATACCATCATCATCATTGCTGTTGATAAAGTTACAACGGTATGTAGTAAAAGCCAAAAAAAGTATCTTTCTTCGTCAATAGAGCATTCTATTAAAATGTAGAAGTGTCGTGGCCGAGATGAGTTCAATGGCACTAGTATATCCAAAATCACTGGCAATATGTGGCCTATTATTATAACAGATATGCCGAAAGCAAGGATGTCTGATCAAAATGATGAGAATAATTATTTTTCTGATATATTTTAAATGCACCCGAAACATATTGCCGGACATGTTACCCTTACGTAGCAAATAAATCGTAAATCGCCTCGAGAATTTGGTATACTTCTTTAATATTGCAATTTCTTGCTTATCCCGAAGTATAGTCCAGTGATACCACATTAAATTTGTAAGATCTTTCATCTGCGATTATAAATATATCTTGCTTAATTTCATAATAATACAATAGAAAGAAGGACTTACTCTTTGGTTATTATAGAAAAAGGCGCCGTGTTTTAAGATGGCTACAAATATGGGAAGAACGATCGATAACACTTTCGTAACTAGGTTTATAGTGCAGTCTGCGCTGATGAATGTCGTAAGCTAAAATATCAGTATTGTGTTTACAATATGCGATGATTATTCGCGCTTATTAATATATTAATTACTTTCATTCTTGCCTATATATCTTCATTTTCAAATTAAAAGTCATTTTTATGCCATTGCACATATAAAGCCGTCGTACCTGGAGCACTATAAATGAGAATAAAATGGTGAGGTAGAATGTAGCCTGAATATTTCTCAACTTTGACTTCTGATAGGGCCACAAACCGCATATTAGCAAAAGCAATCGGTTCACATTATAGTACTTACTCTCAGGAGCGAACATCTCTCTTCGAATACCGAAACTCGACTGCAAGGCTATTGCAGAAATTATTCTTTTTCTCCCTTCCACAGTGCTGCATTATGTATTCTGCTTATTTCCCTCTTACATTTTTTTTTTCGTAAGGTAAAAACTGAAGGTATACTTTCAATGCGCATATTAATTTAAAAGCTGAACAGTTTCTAGCATGAAGGATAATTGCGCTCAATTTCGAAGTGCAATTACCTATAATTTTGCGGTAACTTCTAACTGATGCGAGTGACATCGCGAAAATTTCTCGCGACCATAGTTCGGTTTTATTGTTCACGACGTCGCGAAAGATATTATACCTTTATTTTGTAATATAAGACAACTTATACTTGTGTAATAATACATTGTGTATTATTTGAAAATGGATGAAAGTGAAGATGAATAAATTCGGTAAAGTATAACAGTCGATTTTCTTGGTAATATCTATATCGTACACTTATTTATAATTCTATTTTGACGGAATATTGTTAATTCAACTACAACTTGTGCAATTTGTTATAATTATATAATTTTTTTAATAATACATGTTCATCGTTGCGTAGAATAGATTACCATAAAATAAGATACCGACATACTTGTAAGCTGAAATTGGGATTTTTTACATCTTTTATTATATATTATTTCTATACACATATATTATTTTTTAAAGCTAAATATATATTTCTTACAAGAAATAAAATCGTGACATTGCACGAGAGATTAATATAGAATGTACAGCATGCAAGATTGTTTTATGCAATTAATAAAATGCTTGCACTGATTTATTAAGCATTTTCTCACCGTGATAAAACCTTCTAACGACGCAACATATATTCCTCCAATGACTAAACCGAAATGTTTTGTATTTCTTAGCATTAAGAAAAGAATTAATTTTTGCACTTGTAAAGGTGCTACATACCATTGTACATGATATCTAAAAGTTTATTTGCGGTATGAACTATTATTTATTATCGTATAATTAAAATATATTTTATTACTAGACTTGTTCCTGCTACTCAATTATGCAGACACATAAAAATTATGCAAAATTTTATAATTATTGTACTTACAAATTTTTTAATACAGCTGCACTATGATCTGTAATTGTCTGCCCACCATAATTTCCTATGAAAATGTAAAGAAAATGGATAATGACATAGAAAGTAGATATTGCCAGCTCATTTGCGTTATTTGCAATTAATGCAGCTTCTAGTGCCTGGATATAAAACGAGTTATGTGAAAACCCATAAAGCTATATGAAATCAGTTTGGCGAAGTACAATTAGATGCAACTTACATTTAACATATTAATGGCTAATGAAATTACGCCTATCCCAATTAAAAAGAAGTAGGACTCTTTAAAGCTGTCTAAGGCACGTTGTGTGAACCTTCAAAACAACAAAGAAATTCGATATCTATTCACAAATCATTTGAGTATTATGATTCAGCGCAAAAAGAATTCTGCATTAAATAACTTTATCTCGTTTGTGTTATTCATTGTCCAAAAGGGAATATTAAATATACTATAAGTAACATATAAATAAAAGCTTAGCAAAACTAAGGATCAAATAAAATTGTTAACGTAACAATAATATAACTTTGACTTCCGTACAGTGAATCCAAGTTCAAGTTCGATTCATTCTAATATGCATGTACTGTACTTGTGAAGAGAATGATTACTCTAAATTGATACAGACTCCATAGCTCTACGCTGAATGTTTACGGCGCTAATTAACTTCTGATGCATCAAGCGATTCTTTTGAGAAATTGACATATGTGAAATGTTTCCATCCAACGAACGTTCGATACGATAGCTATAAATATGTATACATTTCATATCACAATTAAAATACGTTCTGATAAACGTGCAATACAAACATCGAAGACTTCTACCAGCAAATTTTTAACATTGCACAAATATGTCGCATGTAAGCTAGAACCATTGATGTAGTACTTGTCATCACAAAAACACCCACGAAAACAATTACGAAAAATAAGTAGGCATATCTTTCTTTAAAGAGATATTTTTTTTCAAATTGTTGCATCAAGACATCATCTTGTAAGAAAGATTCATTGGTTACTGCAGAATTATTGATAATTGGAACAAAATGCATTAGCACCAGAAAAATCCAGCATAATAAGGCACACACTGAAAAATACCTGAATTTGCAAAAGAAACATTTATCTAAAGCAAATTTGCTAAACAACGCAGTTGTAAATATATCTATATCAAAAAAGCCTTTGAGGGAGTTCCTTACAAAGTAAGGCCTCTGTGAGTCGCCGCGTAAACATTCCGTATTGTTTTGCTATCTCAATTTCCCTTGAATCTTTTAGTGCACTCCATTCTTCGCAAATTTGGTTTAATAATTTTTTCACCTATAAATAGAACACAATATTTCCTTTACAAGTAATTAAATTAATTCAATTTTTTAATTAGAGCATATTTTATTGTCATTTATTCATATTTAAAGTAAATTCTTTAAATATCTAAAATAATTATGTTAACAAACATGGTGAACGATTGTAGATTTAGCGATACCTTTAGGTATGTATTTATGCG